GCCCAGGCTGGAATGCAGTGATTATTCACAGGTGCAATTATGGCACATTATAGTCTTGAACTTCTGCACTCAAGCTAGCCTCCTGCCTCAGCCTCCTTCGTAGCTGGGACTACAGACATGCACCACTGCATCCAGCTAGCCCTGTATTTCAAGCTGAGTCATCTTTCCTTTCTAACCACCCAAATTGCCAGTGGGTGAAAATGAGGCAATCTCTTTTATTATACTACTTGAAGACACCAATAATCTTTTAAACTTTTTTTTTTTTCCAGACAGGGCCTTGCTTTGTTGCCCAAGCTGAAGTGCAGTGGCACAGACATGAATCACCACAGCCTTGACCTCCTGGGCTGAAGCAATCCTTGTGCCTCAGCCTCCCAAATAGGTGCAACCACAGGTGCACACCACCATGCCCAGCTAATTTTATTTACTTATGAGCCAGAAGCTGTAGATGAAATATATGTATGTATTATAATATCACAGGTGTAATTGCATCTCCTTTCCTGCAATCTATTATTTTTCCTAGAGTTTCTAATTTAAAATTTTTTTTTTTAATTATCACCCATAATTTCTTCCAAAATTCTCCAACATACTACTTGGTCTATGGAAACGTTTCTTTCTAGGAGAACTCCAGCCTCTGGTATCCCTCTGGCCTCTTTGAACTGATTACTTTGCAGGCCTGTTGCACAGCTATTACTTCGAGACTTCTGTATATTGCAATATTAGGTTGGAGACACTGTCTTCTAGCTCCCATATGACTTACTCTCTCCACTCCAAGTATCTTTAAAGAAAATACCTGAAAGATAAATTTACTAATTCTTGCATATCTAAAAATGTTTTTTCTTTTGTTTTTACATTTGATATTTAAGATGTCTAGAATTCTTGATTGAAATCATTTTCCTTCAAAAACTGAGAGCATTGCTTCAGTCTTAACAGTATTACAAATGAGAAGTCAGAGGAAAGCCTGAATTTTAATTCTTTATTTTTTCCATTCTAACCTTCGAATCTCTTCTCTTTCTTCTTCTTCTTTTTTTCTTTTTTTCAAAGAAGGGGTCTTGCTGTGTTGCCCAAGCTGGTCTTGAATTCCTGGGCTCAAGCAGTCCTACCATCCTGGCCTCCCAAAGTGTTGAGATTACAGGCGTGGGCCACTGCTCCCAGGCTTCTTTCCTTATTTATTTTTTTTAAGTGAAATCAAGTTTATTAGGAAAGTAAAGGAATAAAAGAATGACTACTCCATAGGCAGAGCAGCCTATTCTTTATTTTTAGTTTAGCTCTTCCGAGCTTTCATAATCTTAGGGTATTGTCTCTACCTATGGATATTCCATTTATTCTGCTCATCATTTAGCAGAAACTTTCAGTTGGGAGATTCCTGACTCCCTTCAGCTCTTCTAATATTTCCTGTCTCTATTCTGTCTTTTCTCTCTGGAACTGCTATTAATTAGCTCTTACACATCTAGATCAATTCTTTTTCTTACAGTTTTTCTTATTTTTTTTTAAATATTCTTTTATATATATTTAAAGGAATTTCCTTGATTTTATCTTCTAATTCTTCTAATTATAAATTTTGGCAGTTATATATATATGTATATACATATATATATATATATATATATGTATATACATATATATATATATTTTTTTTTTAAAGACGGGTTTTCACCATGTTGGTCAGGCTGGTCTTGAACTCCTGACCTCAGGTGATCTGCCCACCTTGGCCTCCAAAGTGCTTGGATTACAGGCATGAGCCACCATGCCCAGCCAGCAGTTATATTTTTAACTTACCAGAATTCTTACTTATTGTCTGATTGTTCTTTTATTATAACATCTAATTTCCCTGCATTTCTTTGACAAGCGTATTGGACCTTTTTAAAAAATATATTTTGTTCTTTGAATTAGTTGTTTTCTTGTGCAAAGTTTTCTACTGATGCATTTCTTTTATCTGACAGTTTTCTTCAAATGTCTAGGCATACTTGGCTGTGTTTTTATATTATTAAGAATCATCAGAGAGGCATTGATTTAGGGTAAATAAACTCCTAGGTCCTCAAGTTCCAGAATGATTTGACTTTAGTGCATCAATACCTAGAGTGCTACTAGTTACCATAGTTCCTTCCAGTGTTTTCAATGCCGCTAAATAGGAATATTCAGTTTTTTAGATTGAAGCAAAGTTCTGATATTCAAACTTTTTTTTTTTTTGAGACAGAGTCTGATTCTATAGCCTTTGGCTCACACTGTGTCCTGCACTGCACAAGGGTTCAAAGACCTAAGGGGGAACAGTGGGGGATAAAGAAAAACACAAACAGAAACATAGAGAAAGCTGGGCCAGGTGGTCCGGGAGGTGAAGGATGTCAGTCTCTCTGGCCCCAACTTGTCTCAGTGTACTTTATTTTATATGTTCACAAAACACATAGCAAAGGGAGGGTGCAGTTACTTAGAACAGCCTGTGGTTATTATTCTCATACTTCAGTTAACATACTTCAGCTAACAACTATCTTGCAGCAAGGTCAGCAAAAGCTGGTTGTCTCTCTAGGCCTGCCTCTGTTTTACCCTGAGACATACACATCCTCCTATTATGGTTTCACTTCTCTGGAGTTCACCCAAAGTTCACAGCTGACTTGCTGCTGATCCCCCCAGAGAGGGTAGGCTACTCTGGCTATCTACATAGCCCAAGATGGAGTGCAATGGTGTGATCTCTGCTCACTGCAATGTCTGCCTCTCAGGCTCCAACTATTCTCCTACCTCAGCCTCCCAAGTAGCTGGGATTACAAGCATGTGCCAGCATGTCTGGCTAATTTTTGTATTTTTAGTAGAGATGGGGTTTTGCCATCTTGGCCAGGCTGTTCTGGAACTCCTGACCTCAGGTGATCCGCCTGCCTCGGCCTCCCAAAGTACTGGGATTATAGGTGTGAGCCACTGCGCCTGGCCGATATTCAAACATTTTAAGCTAGGTGGCTGAAAGTAGAGAAAAGGGGTTCATGGTTTACCGTTCTCTTTAAGATGTTCAATTTATCTGGATGATTTCATTTCACTTCTTACTGTTCCTCTTTCCTACATCTCTCTGTCTCTGAGAAGGGAGGCTCTTGGGGCACTGCAAACGGGCAGCCTTCATTTTCCTAGGAAGCTCTCAGAAAGTACAGATTCCTGTTCCCTACTTAGGGACCCAAATTCAGCACCTCTGGGATGAGCCTAGACATCTCTTTATTTTTAAATGCCTTTTCTGGCTCATACATACATTCAAGTTTAGGCACCACCAAAAAGTTATCAGTAACTTGGGAAGAGGTGACAATATAAGACAAAGCAGAGGTTAGAGCCTCATGACTTGGCAAATGACCTGATATGGGGAGAAAGAGAAGAAGGAATCAAAAATGTCTGTCAGGTTTCAAGCCTGAGTGACTTCTAGAATTATAGTGACATTAGTATAAATAGGAAAGTTATAAGGAGAAGTAGGTTTACTTCCTTCTTGAATTTTTTTTAACCAGATGCTGTACTGAATGCCATTCCTATAAAGTATTACTGAAATATTATTTTTGTAGAAAGATTACTAATAAGAATGAAGTTAAGTAAAAGTTAAATAAAAAAATCAATTCTAAATCTTTTGGGAAAATAAAACAAGGAATGAAGTTGCATTTCAATAGAATTTCTCTGATAAACTTATTAGAGCTTTATCAGAGAAAAAGATGAAGAAATAGGTGTTTTTTTCAGGCTATAAAGCCTGAAGGGATTTATAGGCACAAGCTAAACAATCTATTCACTTTTAACGGTTTATGAAGATAATTAAAAGACACACATACAGCATTCCAAAACTAAATGTAGCAATCTACTGGTGAAAAATTCCTAGTTTTCTTTCAATCAAGTGTCTTAATTTTCTAAATGTAAAAGAGCAAAATTTTAAATACACATCACCTCTCATTCTTACTCACTACTTCTAAACAGAGGTGCAAAAAAAAAAAAAAAAAAACCCACAACAATGGTATCTACAACTCTTTATAAGGCTTATATCTATCCTTACCCACTAAAATATTTTGGTTCACGCAGTTCACTTTCTATTAATAGAACAGCCTGATGACTCATTTTGTACATATCGAGTACAATGAGGATTTCCAGATCTGCAATACCTGTGATGACCATAAACACCTCCTTCAAATTAAAACACATTTTTAAAGAATAGTTCTTTGAAAAATTATTTTGAAAAAAGATAAGGTACGATTTATGTACAGTGATTTTTATGCATTTTAGTGCATAGTTTTATGAGCTTTGACAAATGCGTATAGTCATGTCACCACCACCACAATCAAAATACCAAGCAGCTCCTTCACTTCTCGAAGTGCCTCCTACATCCCCCAACCTCATATCCTTTTGAAGTCAACCCAACCCTGCCCCGCAGTCCCTGGAAATCACTCACTTGTTTGCTTTCTATATAATTTTGCCTTTTCCAGAATGCTATGTAGATGTTATCAGACAGTATGCAGCCTTTTTAATTTGGCCTTTTTCATTTAGTGTGATGAATTTGAGATTCATCAGTTTTCCTCAATACATTAGTAGTTTATTCCTTTTTATTCCTGACAGTACTCCATCATATAGATATGCCAAAGTCATATCCAAATATTGATTGGATGAAACTAACCATAACAAGGTTAGTTTCATGGCTTTTGAAATTATGCAATTTATTTTTTTATTTGTTTTGAGATGGTCTCACTCTGTTGCTGAGGCTGGAATGCAGTGGCACCATCCTGGCTCACTGCAAACTTCATCTCCCAGATTCGAGTAATTATCCTGCTTCAGCCTCCCAAGTAGCTGGGATTAAAGGTGCATGCCACCAGCCCTGGCTAATTTTTGTATTTTTAGTAGAACCAGGGTTTTACCATGTTAGTCAGGCTGGTCTTGAACTCCTGACCTCAAGTGATCCATATGCCTCAGCCTCCCAAAGTGCTGGGATTACAATGAGCCACCACCCCTGACCTATGCATTTATTAAGAAGGAAAAAATGTATATTCTCCTAATGCCTTGAATTCTTTAGTTACTTGGGAATTACTTGAAAATGTATTAGGTATAACTGTTTCAAAAGATATGTTTTTTCATATACCTTAGAAAACAATAGATATTTGTTCAGCTGTCTAATTGTGGGTGTGCATTTAAAATGTGTATTGTGATTCCAAAATTTTCTCTACCTAGAAGGGGAATACAACACGTGGGATTATTATTGCTGATGACGCCAGATAATATTTTGCCCAAACTCCTGAGGTAAGTGCTCTATGAAGACCCCATTCAACCCAACCCTTTGAAATGGCTCACTTCCCATTTAAACCCTATTAAACTTTTACCTCATGAAGGCAACAGGTGGTTTAGAAAAGAGCCAATAGAAAGATAATTTTTGTCCTTCAGGATCAGTGCCAATGGAAAAAAGTGACCTGAAATACAGATCTCAGGCCTGACATGATGAAAATCTAATGCCACAGCTGTTGTCTCTCAGAACTGTCACTCATCATGTTTTAATTTCACAGTTTTGATTTAATCTTTTCTAAATACAGCACTGGACAAATACAGAACAAGATAACAAGAGTTCCCAGCAAAGGAGTCAGGTTGGTATTCATACTATCTCCCTTTTTAACCTCCTCCCCAGCCTTTTGGGTTTTATTTTCTGTGGTGATTGCATCTCCAGCACACTGCTTTTTGTGTTCATGACGGACAGGGCTTCTTTACTAGCTCTTGAACCTAACAAGCATCCTAGTGGTTTTGATTTCAGTGTGATTTATTTGCCTTTCTTATCAGGCTAACCAGAATGCTTTTATCAGCCATATTAACTTGTAACACAGTGGAACTGGGTTTGCAGGTAAAAAAAAAATGAGATTTTTCAGTGATGTACCTATCCCTAAGAGGCCCTCTTTTCTGAGATCTATAATGAAAAATACTACTGTTAGCCATGGATTAATTCTTTTTCTTATGAAGCCACCATTTAAAAAAACTACATTGGGTTATAATTTACATACAATAAAATGTACTCATTCTAAGCGTATAATCTTGATGAACATATATGCATGAATAAACCACCACCACAAGATATGGAGCACCCTCCCTGTGATTCACAGGCCTCCCTAATATCTCTTTTCAGTCGTTTCTTCCCTCACCCTCAGACCCAAGCAGCTGATCTGCTTTCTGTCATGATAGATTGCTTTTGCCTTTTTCAGATCATTCTGTAAACAGTGTGTACTCTTTGTGGCCTGGCTTTCTTACTTAGCATAAACTTTTTGAGATTCATCACTGTTTTTGCATGCCTCTGTTAACTTGTGCTTTCTGTTTCTTTTCGACTGAGTTTTATTTTGTTTTATGAATACGTCACAATTAGTTTATTCATTTGCCTGTTGATGGATATTTGGATTGTATCCACTTTAGGGCTATTTTGAGTAAAAATGCTATGGACATTTGTATGTAAATCTTTATGTAGTACTCATTTCTCTTGGGCAAATATCTAGGAGGAAATGGCTGGGTTGTATGATTATGTAAGTAATTTTAGTCATTTTAGTGGGTTAGTAGAGGTGTATCATTGCGATTTTAACTTGCAGTTTCGCGAAGACTGAGGAGAAGCCTAAGGACTTAGAACAGTTTTTCATGTGGCTATTGACCATTTGAATAACTGTTTTCTTTTCTTAAAATGTCTGTTTGAATCTTTTGCCAGTATTGTTTTGGATTGTTATCTTCTAATTATGGAGTTGTAAGAGTTCCTTATTATTTGAAATATCAGTCCTTTAGAATATGTGTGTTACAAATACTTTCTCCTACCTTGTGACTTTCCATTTCCTTTTTTAAAAAATTTAGCTTCTTGTTTTATTTTGTTTTCTTTCTTCCTTCCTTTCTTTCTTCCCTCCCTCCCTCCTTTCTTTCTCTCTCTTCCTCCTTCCTTTCCTTCTTCCTTCCTCCCTCCCTCCCTCCCTCCTTCCTTCCTTTCTTTTCTTTTTTTCCTTCCTTCCTTCATTCCTCCCTCCCTCTTTCCTTCCTTCCTCTTTTCCTTCCTTCCTTCCTTTCTTTCTCTTCCTTCCTTTTTCTTTCTTTATCTCAGCTTATTGCAATGTCCACCTCCTGGGTTCAAGCGATTCTTGTGCCTCAGCCTCCCGGGTAGATGGGACTACAGGCATGCACCACCACACCCAGCTAATTTTTTGTATTTTTGGTAGAGGTGGGGTCACTATATTGGCCAGGCTAATCTTGAACTCCTGACATCCCAAATTGCTGGGATTACAGGCCTGAGCCACTGTACCTGACCTCATGTAAATTTTAGAATTGACTCATTAATTTCAATAAAAAGTCTGCTAAGCTATTAATTGGGATTGCATTGAATCAATTTAGGAAGAATTGTCATCTTGGCTGGTCAAGGTGGCTGGTCAGGTTGCCTGTAATCCTAGCACTTTGGGAGGTCAAGGCAGGCAGATCACCTGAGGTCAGGAGTTTGAGACCAGCCTGGCCAACCTGGTGAAGCCTCGCCTCTACTAAGAATACAAAAATTAGCAGGGTGTAGTGGCAGGGATCTGTAATCCCAGCTACTCGGGAGGCTGAGGCATGAGAATCACTTGAACCCAAGAGGCAAGATTGCAGCTAGCTGAGATCATGCCACTGCACTCCAGCCTGGGAGACAGAGTGATACTCCATCTCAAAAAAAAACAAAAAACAAAAAAAACAAAAAAATTATCCTAACAATATTTAGACTATCAGTCTAGGAACCTGGTATATCTTTCTGTTTATTTATTTATGTTTTCTTGTCTTTTTTGTTCAAGGCAGGAATGCAGTGGTGCCATCTCTGCTCAATATAGCCTCAACTTCCTGGGCTCAAGCAATCCTTCCACCTCAGCCTCCTAAGTAGATGGGACTACAGGCATGTAAAACCATGCCTGGCTAATTTTATTGTTTGCTTTTTGTAGAGATGGGGTTTTATCGTGTTGCCCAGGCTGGTCTTGAATTCCTGAACTCAATAGATCCTCCTACCTCAGCCTCCAAAAGGGCTGAAGGTGGCTGTAAGCCACCGTGCCCAACCTATTTAAGTATTTTTAAACTTCTCTCATTAACATTTTGTAATTTTTAGTGTACAGATACTACATATATTTTGTTTAATTTATCCCTGTTTTATATTTTTTGTGCTGTTGTGAATGTAATTGTTTCTTTAATTTCATTTCCAAAGGATCTTAGCTAGTATCTAGAAATACAATTGATCCTTTAATATTGACCCTATATTCTATAATTTGGCTAAATTCACGTTTGTCTCAGTAGTTTATTTGGAATTCTTTAAAATTTTCTATATGTACAATCATGTTATTGACGAGAATATACAGTTTTGCTTCTTTTTTTCTAATCTTGCTTTGTATCTTTTTTTCTTGCCTTATTGTAATGACTAGGATTCTAGTACTTTGTTGAATATATGTAATAAACGCAGACCATCCCTTGGTCTTTGGAGGGGAAATACTCAATATTTCAGTAGGATGTATGATGTTAGCTCTAGGTTTTCCATGGGTGTCCTTTATCAGATTGAGGATGCTCTTATCTATCCTATTTGTTGAGAGTTTTACCATGAAAGTGTGTTGAAGCTTGCCAAATACCTTTTCTGTATCTATTGAAATGATCATATTTTTTCTCATTTCTTTTATTAACATGGTGAATTACATCAATTGATTTTTTTTTTTTTCTTTGAGACAGAGTCTTACTTTTGTTGCCCAGGGTGAAGTGCAATGGTATAATCGCAGCTCACTTCAACCTTCGCCTCCTGGGTTCAAGTGATTCTCCTGCCTCAGCCTCCCAAGTAGCTGGGATTACAGGTGCCTGCCACCATACCCAGCTAATTTTTGTATTTTTTTGTAGAGACGGGGTTTCACCATGTTGGCCAAGTTCTGCCCCCCTCGGCCTTCCAAAGTGCTGGGATTACAAATGTGAGCCACTATGCCTGGCCATATCAACTGATTTTGAATGTCAAGTCAAGTTAGAAATCCTGCAATTACCAATATATGGTCATGGTCATGCCATGTTATCCTCTTTATATATTGCAGGATTGATTTTCCAATAGCTTAGATTTTTTTCCTTTTGTCTATGTTCTGGAGAGATTAATCTATAGTTTTCTTTCTCATGATGTCTTTAACTGGTTTTGGTACTGACATAAATGAGTCTTGTAAAATGAGTCAAAAATTGTTTACCCCTTCTTTTATTTTTCTTATACAGTTTCTGTGGAATTGGTATTATTCTTTTATTGAATGTTTAATACAGTTCACTAGTAAAGCCATCTAGACTTGGAGTTGTTTGTATGTATGTGTGTGAAAGGTTTTAATTTTGAATTTAATTTCTCTAATACATATTTGACTCTTCATGTTTTCTGTTTTTGTTTTAACAGAATTAGTAATTTGGATCTTTCAAGGAGTTTGGTTTATCTAACCATTGAATTTATTGGCTTAAGGATATTTAAATATTCCCTTATTGTAATTTTAATGTTTGTAGGATCTGTAGTGCCACCCCTTCTTTCTTCTTCATATTAGTAACAAAGTGCTATAATATTTGCTTTCAGCATTTATGTATCTTTTAGATAAAGTGAGGAAATGTATGTATGTATAATATACTACATATCTATTTACTCATACCGTTACCATTTCCAACATTCTTCCTTCCTACCTATGGATTCCAGTTATGATCTATGTAGTTTAGGGGTTAGCCAAGGATTGAGGAAAGTTTTAAAATCCAATTTGGAACTTGCAGTCTTTGTAGTTCCCTTAATTTCATAGCTACTCCTTCTCGCTCTCCAGAAATTTCCGACAATTCCTCTGGCACCTCAGGCCATTAAGCTTTCAGCTTTCTGCTGCCTCAGTTGCATTCTGGTTGGGAATATACTCTGTCAAAGAGCCATAAAGTCACAGATCTTGCCTGAGATAGTTCTGATACAATGTGCAGATACCTTATTCTCTCTTTTCTACCTATCTTTTCCTATCCCCATGTGGTGTTTTCTACTTATCCATAGTTTAGCAGTCGCCTAGAAATTTGGGTAGTTTATATTTAGAATTTGGGCCTTATCTCTTCTGTGGTTTTCTTGCTTCTAAGATTTCCTCCTAAAATTCCAGCTACTCTGAAAGCTTTGTAGTCTGTCTTCTGCCACCAGTAACACTGTAGTTTTCTGTCCCAGGAGCTTTGGACATTGCAAACTCTCCTCAGGCAAAGAAAGCCACAAATTGCAGTTCTTATCTGCTGCTGTTGCAGTCTTTCAAGAATAAACTGTGTGCGGCATCTGGTTTTCTCCAGAGTCTTCAAATCATTGTTTTAAATAAATGTTTTGTCCAGTTTTTATCATTATGTTCTGCAGAAGAGTTCACCTGACCACTTCATAATGCCAAAACAGGAAACTTGACCCTTGACTTTTAGCCTTTGGCTTTACAAACATATATTGAAATTCTTTCTCATATGTGTGCTTTCCATAGATTATTATTCTTTCTATAGGGATTGGGAAATATATTTTTATTTGTATGTGCCTCAAATGCCTAATTTTATTCCACATATGTTTATTGCATATTCACTTGACTTGAATACAAAGATAAAACTTGGCCTTAAGGACTTGTCTAATGTGAGAAAATGATAAACAATGGAATTATTGTTGTTATACCAAAATCGGTTAGAGGTACCGTGAATCACAATGAATATAAGGGCCAAGATTCTCAGAGGGATTAGAGAGAGTGTCTTCACAGAATTAGCAACCCAGCTACTCGGGAGGCTGAGGTAAGAGCATTGCTTGAGCCCAGGAGTTCAGGTCAAGCCTGGACAACACAGTGAGAGCCCCCTTCTTAAAAAAATTAAATAAATAAGTTAAATAAACCAACAAATAAAAGGAAGGAGTAATACTCGAGAGCTGAGTCTTGAAAGATGATTAGATATTAGCCCACCTTTATGAGGTTTTGGTGAAATTCCTTTTCTTATCATACATTTTTCTATAAATTAAGTA